GCCAAACCTTTCACATCTCACATTTCTCTGTGGTCACGTCAGGTTGCCGACGACGGTTATGGCGTTTCTTATATCATCGTGGGTGAAGATATGATCAACTTCCATGTGTCGTGCAAACATTCCTGCAAGGAAACTGTAAGTCAAATGTCTTTTCTCATTTCCTCCTTCTTCTTCTTCTTTTACAACGCAATGTTTTGCCACCCGCTGCATTCGAGGAATCGTTTTTTTCCCCAGAGGTTTTGTTTGAATCCACATTGGAGTGACTGTCCGCTGCATTTGAGTTTTTACCGGGCCGCCCGTTTGGAGTCTGCACGTGTCGCGCGCCAGGCCCACGAGGCGAAATGAAGAGAATTGTTTTTGACTGGCTGACAAATCATTTCCTGTTTCCATTTCAGAGCTCCCACATGTTTGGAGGCCAGATAAACAAAGCTCTGCGAGACATCATGAGCGTGCTCACTGCCGACACCAAAACTCCTTCGTGTTCCAAAGCCTTAGCCCGGCCTTAGCCCAAGAAGAACCTCTGAATACAGTCCGACATGTATGAACATCGCCCTCATGAACACATGCTGAAGATCTGATGGTGTACAGTAAGTGACGCCCAAAAAAAAAAAAAAGCAAAAATGCAATGAGAGCACGCGTGGCTGAATACGAAAAAAACAGAGCTCTGTGGCATTACATTTGACTCGTCTCTGTGAAAAGGGAAATGTAGTGAGAGAAGATACAATTGCAGCACATTCAAACCTCAGTCAGTCCATGGTGCTTACTTGAATTTTACACAGTGCCGTGGAAAAGTGTTTGCCCCCTTCCTGATTTCTGTGTTCTTTGCTTATTTGTGACACGCCGTTTTCAGTTCATCAAACCAACTTTAATATCGCACACAGACAACCCCCGGAAATACAAAACGCGGTTTCTAAATGCCATTTTGATTTATTTTGACCCCCCCCCCCCCAAAAAAAATAAAATAAAAAATGAAAATCCAAACCGATCAAGTATTTTGCGCTAATTGGTGATGAGTCTTTCACATCGCTGTGGAGGAATTTTGGCCCGCCCACCCTTCTTCCGCCATATGAGAGGGTTTTCTCGCATGAACTGCTACTTCAGGTCACACCCCAGCATCGCAATTGGAATCGAACCCGGCCGGACTTTGACTTGGCCACTCCACAACCCTAATTTTGTTTTTTTAGCCATTCAGCGGTGGACTTGCTGGTGTGTTTCGGATCATTGTCCTGCCGCATGGCCCAAGAGCGCTTGCGTTTGAGGGAGCAAAGTGATGGTCGGACGTTCTCCTTCAGGATTTTCCGGGAGACGGCAGGAGTCATTGTCTCGTCGATCGCAGCAAACTGTCCTGGTCCTGAAGAAGCAAAGCGGTCACAGACCATCACGTTGCCACCCCATGCTTCACTGGTTGGATGAACTGAAACCTTTGTGTGCGATAAGTATGCAAAGAACGCAGAAATTAGGAAAGGGGCAAGTACTTTTTTTTTCACAGCACTGTCGCTCTTCACGACTGTGGCCTTTTTTGTGCACAACACTGGGTCTTTTCATTTTCTAAAACGAATGTGACTAGATAGCGCGAGTACTCTGTGCTGACATTTAGCTTGCGCCGGTTGGAGGCTTCGCCGCAGGCATGAAATGACGTCAAGCCAGATATCAAACTGCAGCTTCGTTTGATGCTTTTCAAGTGCCACGCAATGGTCATTCCATCTTATCAGACTGCATTTGAGTTCAAGGACCGATCCAATCCAACCGTTTTAATGGTGAGCAAATGGATGAGGGATTGAAGTACGGGTTCTCTTTGATTGCATATGTTTGGTTCATGGTCGATGAAATGGAGCCTGTGTTTACGTGTCTTATTTCGAAGTCTTTGTACGGCTATGTTTGGTTCCGCCTCTGTTGGGCTTGACCGCCGTCGCACGAAACACCTTCGGTGTTGAAAACGGTCGGCCTTGTCATTGATTTCATTCCTGCGAATACTGTACGGCACTGGTGTCAAACTCAAGGCCCGAGGGCCAGATCTGGCCCGCCACATCCTTTTTTTGTGGCCCGCGGAAGCAAATCAAGCATGTCAACTTGCATGATGCTTGCTAAATTCTCGACCAAAATGTGAAATTCTCATATGTAATAAATAAGACACATAGTGTAAGCACTTTCTTGTCACCAAACCCCTCATTACTGCAACAAATTATAAGGCGTTATTATTGAGTTTTTTGTTTGGTTTCAGTCATAACGGCCCTCCAAGGGAAATGGTAACTAAAATGTGGCCCATGACAAAAATGAGTTTGACACACCTGCTGTACGATATTTCCTCCAACTTTGTTAGATCCCCCTCTTTTTTCATAAATTGTCAAATTAACCTCAACTACAGCCAACAACCTCACACTTGGGAATGCGACGCGCCGATTTGTATTTCCACGGAGGGGGTGGCAGCAGCATGCTTCTGCGCTTTGTCAATAGCGTCACAATCACAGCGCCACGGCATGACGGCGGCTGACCCGACTCACTGAACATCGCCACATACATAGCCAAGGGCATTATCTATCTACATAGCCGCTACTTTGGGAAATAATCCGCTTGATGTTTGGGGACGCGATGACATCTCCCTTTGCACAATAAGTCACATTTGCATTCAAAAATGTGTTTTCCCAACTGCGGCGAATTCCTTCATCGTGGTCAAAATCGGGATCAAGTTATTTCCTCCCCACCTGAATGATTGATCTTGATTTTCACTTAACAGCAGAGCCTTCCCCCGAATGATGTGCATTGAACGCTTACATGTTAACAAGTTTAACAATTTACCATTTGGGCTAAAAATTGTTTAGTTCCGGGTTGTGGTTTTCTTTCATTGGAGGCTATTTTCATGTCGATGTTGCATTTTACCTTTTAAATAATTGGATGTCCTTTTTTTTTTTGTCACTTTATTTCATGCTATTTAAATGCCCCCTGTTCACTTAGTGACTTAACGCTTTTGAACACATGGCGATGGAATGTTGCCGGAAATAAAGCAACCCCTGACTTTACTGTAATTGTTTGCATGTGCAATTGCATTTTTTTGATCCAACACTTGTACAAACCCTCAATGCAATGAAGTTGGGACATTGGGTCGGACGCAACGAAAAACAGAATTCACGTTGACCAAAGTTTGACATCACTTATCCTTTGACCGTCACACTAAAAGCATTTGGGAACCGAGCCCGAGTACACTAATTCCTGAAGCTTTGAAGGCTGAATTCTTTCGCATTCCTGCTTGATGCGCAACTTCATTTGCTCAAGTCTGTGGTCTCCGTGGCCGTCTTTTTCACTTCATCATGCGACACACATTGTCAGTGTGTTAAGACAGGTCTGGACTGCTGGCAGGTCAGTGTTCCACTCGCGCCCTTTGACTATGACGCCGTACTGCTTAAACATGTACAGAACGTGGCTTGACGTTTTCTTTTTGAAATAAGTCCCTGAAAACCGCATTGCTTGGATTGCAGCAAATGTAGACGCAGTTAAGGCATAAGGAATACCATCCATTAAGCTAAATTATATATGGGGGGGCAAAAAAACCGAGCAAAGATAATCACATTTCACAACCCTATTCTGAGAAAGGAAATCTCCATGAACCATTTTATTCAAGCAAACCACACAGAGCTCTTGAAATCGCATCAAAACTTAATACACAATCACATTTGAAAAGATCAAAGTTAAAGTGCCAAAGTGCTCTGTAACTGTGAATTAATAACTGCGTGGATTGAACATTAACTCATGATAACATGACTGAGTTGGAAAGGAATCTGCTGGTTTATCTTCCTCCGGCAAAAGCCGCCGCTCATTTGCCGTCACAAAAACCACGCAGGTTGCCATTGAACCCTGCACCTTTGCGCTGGGAGGCCGACACGCTAACCAGAGAGCGAGAGAGAGAGTTAGCTAGAGATCGATATGTAAAGAAAATATATTGACTCTGAATCTGCCTTCCAGTTATATCTTACTCTTTAACTTCCATCCTGTTTGGATAGATGATGATGAAAGTAACTTCCAGTTCCTCCACTTAACCAACAGTTAATCTGCATTTACGAGGGACGGCACGCTGGAGCTAGGGCTTGCTAGAGCCCCGTCTGAAATCCGTGTAGTCCCAGTGAAGCCCCTCCAGTATTTTATTTGATATTCTCAAATAGATTTAGAAATGATTTTCTCATCTCCCCGCGCCCCCAAAGTTTCGGTCAAGCCCCACTTTAGTTATTGATCATTGATTTAATGCATGGGTGCCCAAGTCCGGTCCTCGAAAGCACCTCCCCAGCCCATTTTAGATGTCTCCTTCCTCCGACACACCAGATTCAAATGACCCCTGTTTAATGTCCAGTCTTTACAATTTGGATGGTTTTACGATGATACAAGTTGAAATTGTAGCCTCCAGACAGTATGGAGGATCCATCACTATGTGCAGCAGAAGCGTAGCATTGCGACAGAGCCAAAAGGACGAGCGGGGTCATCTTCCGAAAGAAAGGAAAAATGGAAGCGAGATCGAGAGACGCGGAAAGAGAAAAAGAACCACTGAACAATGAAACCGAGAATGAGGAAAAGGGAAGCAAAACTCAATGGACAGGCGAAAGCAGCTATACGCGACCTTCACCTCCAATGGGTTGCATCGGGGGCTGGGCCTGACGTGAACAGGCATCACGACTTTGGCTTCGATGAATCCTCACAAGTCTCAAGCGCACAGCAATGTTGCTCAGGGACACGAAACGAGCAATGCGCCCATTTCTAAAACACACGTACCAAAAAGGCGACACTTACAAGTGAATTATATTGATGGGCCAATGGACAATTTGCCTGATCACATTTGAGGAAACATCCACAAAATATGGCCTTCACTTGTGGCAATATATTTATTTTGGGGTGAATCCTACTGCGGATGTAATCTATTTATCAATGATCATGTTGTTGGTATGAAACAACTCTAAAAATAGATTACCACCGGGGAATCATTCATTACACAACCGTGTTGGCCTCGGGGGGGCTCCAGGACATTTCCTTCCCCGGCGCCAAAGAGGGAGGCTTGACCGATACTGTACATAGTGGGGCTGAAGAAAAAAAATCGATTCATCCATTTTCTAATCCGTTTGTCCTCACAAGGGTGCCGGCCCGGTGTAGCGCCATCGCCCGTTCGGGTTTAGGTTGCATTTAGGGTGGCGAGTGAGCTGGACTGATCTTTGGACTGAAACCGAGAATCCCCCGTGCGATTTTTTTTTAACTTAAAACGATGCTGCCCCGAAAGCCCCCGCATCATTTCGTCATCATTTGGCTGTTATCAGAGTATCGCTGAGGCGGGACTCTCCCCGGTTAGCGACAACAAAAGATAAAAGTGAAAGTAAACAGTCTGTCAGGATAAAAAAAAAAAAAAGTGCGCCGCCTGTGATGAAAGCCGACGAAGTTCATCGACGCTGCAACGCGGTGAGTTCACAAAGAACTTTGATTTATTGTTCATTTCTTATAGTCATGACGACTCGGCGAGGACGAAGATGAACTTGGGGGGCGCGGAGGGGGTGGGGGCGGGGGGGCTAGGAGCTCAGCCGCTGCGGGGGACTCGCATGCGGGCAATCCGAGTGTCCGCGTGGTCGCCGCTATTTCAGGCCAATTTGTCAACACTGAGCACTGTCAGACGCGGTGGCTCCGAGTCGAGAGCTCCCTCGTGATGACTTATTGTGTCATTTATTTCTGTTTTGAATTGACTTCTTACGCGGGTGCGTTCTGAAACGTAACGTTGTTCTTGTTACTTGGGACGGTTGATCTGCAAAATAAGTTTGGAAGGGCCAAATAGACGGCAAAAACTTTTGGAGGGCAACGTGCTACGTGCTTGGATAGAAACACACAATTGAAAAAGGGAAAACAATTCCTTGCTGTACTGTATTTGTGTTAAGGATGCTTGTAAAATACCTCCAAAACTAGACATTCCTTGTGGATTTCTCTGCTTTTGATGATCAGCGCATTAAACGAGAAATTACCGTATAACTAGAACCCCCTCTAAATCCTAAACATATACGAGAAGTTATCGAGGAGTAGAAGAAGGTCGAGTTCGTTGAAAATGACATTGTGAACTTGAAACATAAATATTAACGATAATAACACACCCACACAACGTGACCAAATCAAAAACTAGAGAAATCCACAGAGCGCATCTAGTGACAAAACAAGAGGGGCTAATGAACTTGTCACAATCATCTTTATTGGCCAAGTACAGTATGTAGAGCACACAAGGAAATTGTCTCCGGGAGAACAGGCGACACCAGTATTGCAATCACAAGCGACGATCAATAAGAACTTGATATCCAAATATCTGGTTCTGCGCAATATTGATCAATGACAATTGTTCAAGTGCGGTACTGTATGTCCATTTGTTCCCCAGCAGAACGCAGGGAGAACGTGTTTTCAACTTCACCTGTGTCTTGAAATGTGAGCATACCTACATGCATCGCAAGTCTAGAAAATCTCAAGCATATTTGTATTCGCACTTTGTATGCAGCAATGGCTGTTTGAGAGTGCTCCATAAATACAGCTGAGTTGAGTATTGGCTGAAAGATGTGCCCATTGAGGTGAATGGCTGTTTGTCTAAAACAGTGGAGTTGAGCATCACTCATGATCAACTCAAGTTCCTTGCCCATGGTCCCCTCATCATTTCTGCGTGTAAAATGTATGCCCGTGTTGTTGCACAATGAATGAAAGAAATGTCCATTTTCTCCCTTGACCCTTGCTCTTCTGTCATAGTGTGAACCTGGATGTGTACAGGAGCAGAATGACATGGTGGTCCGCCCCCTGCCTGTGTCTCATTGTAAGTTACCGCGTTGGTTAACCGGCCCCCGAGGAGGTTCGATCAGGCCCACAGGATCATTTAACAGCGAAAAAAAATGCATAAAAGACACGGAATGAATATTTTTACTAAGGTGCAATTCATGGAGTATCCGTTAGAGGACACACCGTTTTGATCAGAGGAGAAGACAACAGCAGCCTCAGTCTGTCACCGAGACAGACCCAACACAGCAGACGCGATCAAGGACGTGAATACTTTATTCTTTGCACATTTAAGAGCACTCTCCTTAGTATGGTAAAAGTAAATTGCACATTTGTCTCAGGAAATCTAAGGTGCTTCGTGAAATGTTTGATAAAAGATATGTTCATTAAATGTCAACATTCCCCGAATATTGTTGTGCTTCTTTAGACCAAAACAAAGGAAAGACATATTATTTTGGTTGTTTACAGCAGAGTATGGTATCATTTTAATGATCCGGCCCACTTGACATCTACCAAAGGCCGTACGTGGCCCACAGTGTGAAAAGAGTTTGACACCCCTGCTTTACAGCATCCGGCAACGTTTGAGGAGCAGCAGAGAAAATCAGACCAAAGTCTAACTTTGTACTACGGTTAGTGTGGACTGTCGAGTGTTGGCACAGCTGCCATTATGACACAACAATGTGAATGGAATGCAATGTTCACGGTGAAAGGCGTTGAATCATTTGGCTCATGGAAAGTATTGGCTCTGTCATGTATTTGGAGTGTGGGTGTTTTTTTTTCCCTTTCTCCGTCTCCTCTGTTGAGCGACGGAGAGCCGGAGTGGGCGTGCTTTCACTTTCGGCTTTCTGCTCCGAGATGAAATTGAGCTGTGGTTTGAGTCCAGCTGCGCCGACCATTAACGAGGCATTGGCGGTAGCAATGTTAGCTGAACCCGACTTATGTCTATCCAAAAACACGGCCTGGCCTCTCTGCTTTGCTTTTGGCGGCTTTCCAGAATAAGTTCACTGAAAAATGCAACTGCCGCGCAATGCCGATGACACCTTTTTCTGTTCTAGATATTCCTGAGTTTGACGAAACCTTCAGAAGAGAACTGCAAAGACTACTTTACGCAGAAGGAATGGGTACATTTTTTTCCTTTGTTTTTCTTCCACTGTACACGTTTTTCTTGAAAACGCCTACGAGATAGATTTCAGACCAGTAATCTCAAGACTGAAATTAAACCTGCCATGAGGTCATGAGGAGTATCGTATGCCATATCATATATTTTAATGTCTTTCCTTTTGTCATACAGGAAAATAACACGATTTTTAAAATGGTCTCCCTTGTGATCACAGAGAACAAAACAGTAAGTCACTCGCCAAAACTGGTCAATGTATTGATTCAGTTGACTCATACATGTCTGTTTCTCTTTGAAGAATGTGGCGGAGTGTACTTTAGAAAGCTACTGTTTGCAAAACGAGATGTGTCATGTATTTCACGACTGCTTTGACAGACATGTGAGTAAATCAGAAAGGGTCATTTGGCCCTTTGACCGCCTGTTCATTATCAGAATGAGTTTGCACACTGTCCTGCAAAAAACACGAATGTCCATTTTTGTCATTTTTCAAAGACTTTTATGTTCAGGGGATGTCCAAAATGTGGACATCCCATTCATGTCAATTATCATGTAAAAAAAAAAAAAATTAATGACAAAAACGGACACGTCTTTTCCGCAGGACACCGACGGTATTAACATCTGAACTTGTTTCGTTTCTGACTTCAGGTCAAGTCACCAAGTGAAAAGTGTAAACCTGTGCAGATTGTTCCCGTTCATACTCATCACTTAATGTGCCTGTTAGCCAGAGTAGTGGATTCCCAAAAAACTGTACATGGTTCGTATAACAATGATCCTTTCTTTCTTCTTTCTCTCAGATGGAATTTAACTCTCTTTCATTTCCTCTCCATTTTGTCTCAAGTAAAGATCGACATGTTCAGATACTTTCTATGTTTTTATCATATTTCTGAACACTTTAAAAAAAAAAAAACTAGATTTGTGTCATGTATCAGTCACGTGTTCAGACCTTTCGTAGTAGTGTGGCAGAAAAACTGCCATTTCCTCCCTAATTCTAATCTTGCGTCTCAAATTTTTTGCGTTAATGTTCACTGAAATATTAAATCAGCAATATACACACACACACACACACACACACACACACACACACATTTTTTTTATCAGGTGGCGGGCCACCGACAAATGGATGGCAGGCAAGAAATGGCCGCCGGGCTGTAGTTTGGACACCAATCGCAAACAGAATTTGGCAATTTATTGAAATGCACGCGTACTTTTGTAATCTTGGGAGGGCTATTAAGAATCGAACCTGTTGAGCATGTGATTGAGATTGCAAATTTAACACTGAATATGTTTTCCTTTTGCACTGCAGGCTGTGAATATGGTGAGTGTGAGTAAATGTTGTGTTGAAATTCCATTTCTTGATATAAAACGAATTGTGAATGTTCTCACTGTGTGCATAATAATAAGCAAACTATCTTCTGATGGCTTTTTCAGCAAGCGTTTGTCCATTATTTGAGGAGAGTTGGCAAGCCGGTAAGGGCCTTGAATTTACTCAGTCATGTTCACCAACTGTCAGATGACTTGTTTTAGACAGCGTTAGTTGTTTTAAAGCGCTCGAGAAATACGCTTGAGTCGAGTTCAGTTTTCTGAGAAAACCACGCCATTTTTCCATTTTTTTTTTTCTGTCACCAGCAACTGCACTGCCGCCAACAGACCCAAAGATGACATCAACAGTTGTGTCATCTCGGGCTGAAGCGCTGCCAACATCACATGCATCATTACCAAATGTTACGCCTGTGGCAAAAAACGGACACCATGCCGAGAATACAGCCGCCTGTCAAGGCAATGCTAAGTTTTATGAGATGCCAATCCACCTCAACGAGAGTATTCATATCCATATTCATATCACATTCATATCAATTCTTTGTCTTTCTTTCCCCAGACGATTTAAGCCTGAAGGTGCCGTTAGTGATTTCTTCAACGCTTGCTATTGTCATGCCATTAGCTGTTTACTTTTACATGCGTCACCAGATGAAGCAAGACGAGAGAGGGCCAGGTGAGTCCACGATGGTGACAAGCGGAGGATGTTTTTAAGCAGCCACAAAAAATATTCATTGATGGGATATTTTGATGAGTGTGGTGATTAAAAAAAAAAGACAAAAAAATCCCTCCTAACTGACTTTGGGCAATAGGCATGATGGACTGGTGGCCAGCACATACTGACAAACAAACTTTCCCACTCCCATTCACCCTTGTGGGCAATGAACTTGAAATGCATGTTTTTGGAAGGCAGTGTCAGATGAAGCGGGAGCACCCGAAGCAAACAACCTCCACATGCAATCGAGCCTGAACCCAACTTCGGAACACGGCTCTCTCGCATTTTTGGCAGACGTGGTAATCACTAGCTCATCGTACTGCCTCCCCTAAATTCATATTATTTTGAATTGATGATGTCATAGACCTCCTTGTTTTTATTTTAAAGTCCCAAAACATGATTCCGCCATATGGGAGCATTGTGCTATTTTGCTTCAGTCCAGCACAACTGGTGATCCTGCTTTCTCATCTTTGGCCATACTGCTTTTTTTTCCATCCGTCCATTTTCCGATCTGCTTTATCCTCACCAGGCCGTAGGAGGGGGACACCCTGAACCGATTACCAGCCAATCGCCAGGCACACATCGATTAACAACCATTCGCGCACGCAATCACACCTAGGGACAATTGAAAGTGTTCAGTCAGCCTGCCATGCATGTTTTTGGAACGTAGGAGGAAACCGGAGTACCCGGAGAAAACCCACGCCGGCACAGGGAGAGCATGCAAACTCCACACAGGAAGGTCGGAGCCGGTATCGAACCTTGCACCTCTGCACTGTGAGGTTGACGCGCTAACCACTCAACCGACGGACCGGCCCCTGCTTTTTTTTTTTTTTAATTAGTATTTTTTTAATTAATGCTAGTGGTCGGTTAGGTAGCATTTCAATTAATTCTACCTAACCCTGCTCTAGTAGAGGGATTAGTTCCATAACAACCATTCATCATGGATAATCAGTGACAAAAGCTAATCAAACAGTACGGTTTGGGAATGTTGTAATTATTGATCATACATGGCAGGGCGGATAAAGTTGTACCGCCCGTTTCCATAGTTCAGTGAATTAATGGGTACTTTGGGTGTTTTTTTCTTCTAGTATGACCAACCACTTGGCTCTACAGATTTTTTTTCCCTCTTTCACAACTTCAAGGGGGCTATCAATGGATTCATTCTGAAGATGTGGACGATATCGAGGTGACTGAACCAAAAGAGCTGCAAGGGTTCCTGGAAATTTTTTCAAGGAGTGAATGAAGGTGTCAGAAGAGACAGCTGGGAAAAGTGTGCCAGAATCCAGGGGGTCGCTTTGAAAGGGGGAAACTTGCGGTTTGGATTGGAACTAACTCTTTTGTGACAACAGCGCTGCCATTTTTCAGACACACCTTCCATATGCATAACATTTGTTTTTGACAGATCTTGTATTGAATCGCATCCCATTGGGGTGTGTGCTTGATGTCATGGACGGTGTTATGTCCAATCATATCAACAGGGTTGATTTTTTATTTTTTATTTTTTAAATGCCTCATTTCGACTCGCAAGACACATAGCATAAAGTGAGTTGATTGTATGCAATGAGGAAATCTGGGGTAACATACCGAACCTCCTCATTTCACTGTGTTTTACTAAACTGTGATGAATGAATGAATATGATGTGTTGTTAAATTTTCAGAAAAGATAAATAGCGTATTATCCAGTTTCCAGCTAGCTAATCTGTGCACAAAGCATGGCCTGCGAACCACAGCTGTATTTTTTTCCTGTTTGTTTTCGCATTTGCATTGTCAAGTCTTGTATTACTTGTTGCATTCATGAAAAAAAATAAATGATAGTCGATAAATTGTTTTTATTCTTTTTTAAGATTTTTTTTCCCCCCTCCGCCTATGGGGGCGTCTATCTATTTCCACTGTAAATGTCCACAATAACATTAATGAGGATAAACAACCTGGCTCATCTGTCCGCTTTAAACTTCAAATGAAGTCCTTGAGGAGCAGTTTGTCCAGTCCACCTAACTGCAATGAGGTTTGGCATTTTGTAGACCGATCCCAATCTGCCTCCCCAAGTGAGGCGAGTGAACCACCACACCATCAGTGTTGGTTTTGAACGACCCGTTGCTCTCTCCTCCCAAGGTCCACGCTTTTATTCTGAAGGTTCCGGCTCGGAAGTGAGATGGCTTTGAATGCGCAAGCTTCGAAGCAGCTTCCGGTGTGCAATGTGACGTAAATAAACGAAACCACTTGGGGAAAAGAGAGGCAAGTACAGATCGTATTGGACTGTATTATATTCTAATCGTATTTAAACCGTAACCGCAACGGAGAAGTGAACTCTGTGGTCGTAACCACGAAGGGATAAACTGCGTGGCTCCATTGTACTGCCTGCCGGTGATGCTAAGCTAAAGTCTATTAGCCGGCTGTGCTTTTCTTTGTTGTAGCAACAGACTCCTTTTTGTCTGGCAAGTTTAGCCACAGCACACACAGTACAGTAGCTCCACGTCAGCACTTTTATTTCCTCTGTTCTTGATGATAAGGCATACCGCGTGCATGATTTATTCAAATGACTTTGTTTCATGTCACAGGACTTCATTTTAGTCAAGTCAGCTTTCTTTTCAAATATGCTCTATGTGCAACATACAGCACAGGTGACATTTCTTTCTTGTCAACCGCAGTGCATTGAAAATACACAGCGAAAAATAAGGGAAGCGAAACTGAACTGCAAAAAAAATAAATGATAGTCGAGAAATTGTTTTTATTCTTTTTTAAGATTTTTTTTCACCCTCTCCGCCTATGGGCGTCTATCTATTTCCACTGTAAATGTCCACAATAACATTAATGAGGATAAACAACCTGGCTCATCTGTCCGCTTTAAACTTCAAATGAAGTCCTTGAGGAGCAGTTTGTCCAGTCCACCTAACTGCAATGAGGTTTGGCATTTTGTAGACCGATCCCAATCTGCCTCCCCAAGTGAGGCGAGTGAACCACCACACCATCAGTGTTGGTTTTGAACGACCCGTTGCTCTCTCCTCCCAAGGTCCACGCTTTTATTCTGAAGGTTCCGGCTCAGAAGTGAGATGGCTTTGAATGCGCAAGCTTCGAAGCAGCTTCCGGTGTGCAATGTGACGTAAATAAACGAAACCACTTGGGGAAAAGAGAGGCAAGTACAGATCGTATTGGACTGTATTATATTCTAATCGTATTTAAACCGTAACCGCAACGGAGAAGTGAACTCTGTGGTCGTAACCACGAAGGGATAAACTGCGTGGCTCCATTGTACTGCCTGCCGGTGATGCTAAGCTAAAGTCTATTAGCCGGCTGTGCTTTTCTTTGTTGTAGCAACAGACTCCTTTTTGTCTGGCAAGTTTAGCCACAGCACACACAGTACAGTAGCTCCACGTCAGCACTTTTATTTCCTCTGTTCTTGCCTATAAGGCGTAACGCGTGCATGATTTATTCAAATGATTTTGTTTCATGTCACAGGACTTCATTTCAGTCAAGTCAGTTTCTTTTCAAATATGTGCAACATAGAGCACAGGTGACATTTCGTTCTTGTCAACCGCAGTGCAAACACGCAGTGCATTGAAAATACACACAGCGAAAAATAAGGGAAGCGAAACTGAACTGCATAAAAAGACGCAAAGATATAAATATGAACAAATAAAACAGGGTGTTTATCTGTCTCTGTTTGCAGTGAATATTTGTGTGTGTTCGTGTCACCGCAGGACTGTTTGGTTCATTTGATCCTAAAGCCATGGCAACTGACTCGACACTGCTCAACTCCGAGATGGAGTTACAAGAGCAAGAAGACCTGTATCAGCACCTTTTAGCACAGGTAGTTTCACTGTTACTCTTTTTTATTTGTTAACTATATCAGATAACCCAGTGGACCTGCATTTTTCCCCCCAATTCAGACACTAGAAAATGTGCAGACTGCAAATCCAGATTCCAAAGTGATTCGGCCTCAACCCGGTGTGTAATTTCACCACACAAATATCGACCATATCGAATACAATCAATTAGGCGACCCTTAATTTGTCCTTGGACTCAGGAATATGTGTAAAGACGACGTCAGAGCCCGGCAAGCAGAAGGTCTTCGTCAACATCTGTCAGTCAAACTTGGTCCCACCACCACCGGAGATCTCCAAAGAGGAACTTTTGGACCTGCTCCAATTAGAAGATCCCAGTGGCTACAGAGTTCCCATGAGCCTCGGGGAGCCACACACTGAAGTGGACAACAGTCAGTCATTTGAAATTTATGAACATACATTGGGAGGGTTTTTTTTTTCCCCTGTATATAAATCACTACAATCGATTCAAATCGTTTCAAAAATGCAGAGAAATGTCAGGAAAAGGCGACTAGAACTAGAACATCTGAACTTTATTTGGGTTTAAGCAGTGGCACTTGGGTGTCAGTTGTTGACCAACTCCTATTTCACATGAATTTTGAACATGATTGGTTAATTGTGAACACAGCCACAACCTCATTCATAGACAAAGCACGCCCATGTTCAATCCCATTATCTTTGTTGTTTATTTTTACTTCCCCTGTTGAAGATTTTTTTTTTTTCAATTGAGTTGTATAGGTTTTGAAATAATCTATCTAGGTCTATTTTTAATCACTAAAACTGAACATTAGGCACCCGTGTGTAGACTTTTCAATCATTCCATTGTTTTGTGTTCTCGTTGTTTGTACAGTTACATCTCTTCTCTTTTCTATGCATTTCCTCTCGAATAATTGTCAGAACATATTTGCCATTTAACGCCTAAGTGAAAGTTTCTGCCCTAGACTCTCAGGGTTGCACTGCGTATGACGTGGTCATCAATCAGGAGTTTTTCCAGAAGTGTCAGGTTGGTCAGGATCTTTTGTTTTTCTATCAACACTAATTTACCGTACTCACTTCTCTCTGACTGCTTATATTGGATTTCATCATGCACTTTTGTGTCTCATGAAATGTCTCGTTAACGTTTCTTTGATGCGCCTGTTATTCTTTTGCTCGTATGTGTCTTGTAGAAGGAAGCCTTGTTCCAGCAGTTTGTTATCATGGTGTCTTTCGAAGGTTTAGAGAACAAATACAACATCGAGCTGAGTCGAGGTAAACGGGTAAAACCTTTTCTTCATTTTGGTGGACTAATTTGTTGTCAAGCTTGGGATTTTTTGGGTTGTTTTTTTTTGTGTCTTTTCCAGAATGGAAGGTGCTGAAGAACAGAAAGTTCTTGGGGTCTGTCAGCGAGCAGAACATTCGCACAAAAAGCAAGCCAGTTATTCAGGAGCTGCAACCTCCGTAAGTCTCGGCGATGGATTAATTACAAACAAAGTCCCGCAGAAAGTAGCCAGACCAAATGAAAGCCCAAATGACATCTTTTAGTCGATTTCATAGACTCTGTACACAATAGAGTCCACCAACCTTGTATCTTTCTTGACTTTAATCTGCCACTGGCCAGTACAAACTGTATTTTTAAACGCAACACATTTGGCCACTCCGTTCGGGAGCAAGCCCTCCACTTGCCCACCGCCACCGCGTCTTTGTAATTCATGCAAAATACCTCCTGAAGGAAGAGCAAGCGCAACAACAAAAAATGCATCCCGTTTCTGAGCTCGGCCAGGGATTTTACACGGACTGATTTGGTGATTTGCTCCATTCATGCTCTTCCTCCTTTTTTGTTTTCTAGGGAAAACTCCACTTCAGGGGCAAAAAGGTAATATATCTGATTACTTTTTTGCTTTGTCTTTGTCGGTTGTCTGAAAGTGCTCTCGAAATTCAGTTGAGTCAATTCGTCTCCTCTTTCTTCTCAGACCAGAGTTCACCTTGTTTGTGGAGCCTCCTTCTGGTGACCCCGAGTACCTCATTGCAGAAATCAAGTTGCCCGGCGTGGTGAGAGACACGCAGACTTTTTCAAAATCTCGAACGATCAAATATTGACATTTAATTGAGTTCACTTTTTTTTTCCAAATGTACTACCAAAAACCAAAAGAACATATGAAGAGCCCAAACTGACAAAACATGTCCTGTCCATCTAAAAAGTAGCTAAGTAAGTAAGTTGGAAGAAGTTCCAACTTTTTCAAATCGCCCTCCTCCACCATGACCGAAAATAAATGATCCATCCAAAAAACAAACAGAGATACTTTTACACTGCAACATGACAAACAAAAATTTTTCTTGATTGCGCATGGGAAATGGTAATAGCCTTCCCCATTCTGAAATTCGATTCAATTTTTTTTTTTTTTTTATCCTTGTACATCAGTAGTTCTCCTTGTTATAACTATGTGAATTGTAATTGATTAAAAAAAAGTTTGTTATTGTGTACACGATAGCATACTTTGTGTGTGGCCATTCTTGCTCTTTGTTGCTGGGTGATTGTTAGCTGCAAAGCGTTCCACCCTCAACAGAATATTGTCAACGACGCAACAGCAGGGAATTGGATTGGATTGGATTGGATTGGATCGCTTTATTGTCATTACACATTCATGCAACGAAATTATGGACTTAACAGGCTCTCTCTGCACAAGAAACATGAAAAACAAACCAATTCCATGGTTTATTCTGAGGGTGAAAGTACGATAGGAGGCTAGGAAAAGTTAGACACAGACAGCACGTAGACTGAGTGGCGAGCAAGGAGAGGGTGGGGTAGGAAGGAGCTGAGCAGAAAAGCGTCCGCCTTCGTCGAGAGCCAGCAAGAAATGCGGAGCGGGTTATGGTCTCATCTCTCGCTGGCTTTGTTTACGGCAGCTCTGCATTTCATGACCTTGAATGACCCAATGAGGTCAAATGAGAGCTCAGATGGTAAAGTGTCGGCTCCCGCAGGCTTCATCCCGCTCGTTGGTCCTTGATGTCGGCGAGGACCGCCTGGTTTTGACAGCCCGGCCCTCGCTCTACTTTCTCGACATCTTCCATCCCTTCCTCGTTGATCAGGAGACGAGCGTGGCGCAGTTCAACAGCAGTACTCAGGTACAGCCAGTAAAAGTCACACCGTCTAATCATCATCTCTCGGGGGCTACGATAAGCAATGACGCCGATGTTGAAGTGGAAGTCTTTTAACCGTGAGTTCCCTCGGGAATATTTGCTCCGTTATTCCGTTCGTTGTGACAGTTTGTTTTGGATTGACGTCTCAGCGTCAAGCGTGTTGTTCTTAAAAACAAACAAAACAAAACAATGCAATCTATTGTCCTTGTGCCTTGTGTCTCTTAGATCCTTACAATCACCTCGCCCGTGGTGTCGTCTTGAAACAACAGATGCAACCTGCGCTTATTTATTAAGATGCTGTGACGCTCCACGTCCAGCGAGTCAAGTGAATTCGGTCTTCATTCCGATGTCATGTGAGACGGAAGTTCGAATGCCCTCCAGTAAAGTTAATACCACAGCTGTTGAATTGCTAGAATGACGTGTGGGATATCCTGTATGGCGCTAACATGTCACACGCGAACATATACGTACATGATGAAGACGTCTCGGACATTGTCGATCAAGAAACTTGCATTGTTAGTTTTGCAAAGGCAAAATTTCAGTACAACTTTTGTGTTTCATTTCACAAAATGGACATCATGTGGCCGATCGAGTCACTTTGCTTCAAAATCTCTGACTGGACCGAAATGATGATGAAACCCCCAATGGGTTTCAAAATGTCAGAATAAAAAGACCTTCATATTTGTTGTTGCACTTGTATTTATTAGAGTAGATTAATGGTGTCATAATAATAATCATAATTATTATTATGATTATTATCAACTCTGATGTACTCTCAGCAGGATGCGGTTTTGTTCTTGGGCCTCGCTTGCTGCTTTGACATCGCAGGATCCACTCATTCTCATTCTCGGAGGCTTTTTTCCGGCCCCAAATTCTCTGTATAAATAGATAGCCCTTCCGCCTCCCTGCCAGCTTTGTCCCCCTCCCCTCCCCACACGTCTCTCCCTTTGATGCGGTCGTTCCCGCTCCACCTGTCCCCGGGCCACGAGCCCGCATTTGTCCTGTGAGGTCAGCCCACTGTTCCCCTTAATCCCAACGGGCCGCTCATCTCGCCGTCGCCTAATCCGCCCGTGGCCGTCGGCCCTGACCGCAAAGGCGCACCCGCAAGGTTATTTTTGAGCCCCAACTCCGAACACTCCATCATAGGTCGTCGAATGCGTGCGCGTCGAGCGCACACGCATTGTCCCTCCCCGTCGGCCCTCTGCTATAAATCTCGCCTTCTTTGCACGGTCGTCACACTCCTGCCCGTGTGTGTCCTGCTGGCCGCGCATCTTCATACAGGTCTGTTTGATTTACAGTTGGCCCATATTTTTGATTTTTTTTCTCGGATCGCAAGCTATTTCCGCCGGGGGGAGTCATTGGCGAGCTGTTCATTTATTTGTCATCTCGTCGAGGTTTCTTTGTTCTGAGTGTGACGAAACGGCGGATCTGCGTCCGATGTCGTGAGGTTGTTTGTAAATTTGCAAACAAGTATCAGATGGAAGTGGGAAGTGTGAGAGCTGCCGAAGGTTTCCGGTTAGTGTTTACGATCAAGCTGAGATGGGGCAAGCCCATTTCAAGATTTGAAAACAAATAGGAGGATCTGATAAAGAACTCTTAAAATGTCAAGGGAGCCAGTGAAGGGATGCTCGAGTAAGATGAAAGAAGCTGGCGCCAATTAGCTGCTCCCAATTTCAAATCGCTGTCCAGTTTCAGAGCCAAGTTGGAAACTGTTGGCTTGAGAGAAGGAGCCCGGGCCTCCCCGAGTCCGAAGGCGCCCTTCTCACTCTGCCCATCTTCACCTTTTGCAGCTTCACCTTCCAGCCCGTGTCAGACGTCATTTTTTGGTTGTTTGTTTTTTTTTGGGGGGGGGGAGATGTCGCGGGCGCTGAAAAATGCAAATGGCCTCCGGGACGCAGTTTGGACACCCCCGCTTCGGAGCATGCGTGGCTTCCTTTCATGTCGCAACGAGGCCGCCATGAAGGCATGGAGAGTGTATTTCAGGACAAAAGTGTGAGCAAGGGCGGAAAGAAGGGAAGAGTAACTGGACCTCTCTTTGTTGAAGCTTTGTCACATTCCCACCTGTTGTTCCTCCATCAGTCCTCCAGCATCCTTTGCCAGGAAGGTGTCAGCGCACCCCCTCTGCGTCTCGCCATTGTTTTATGTCACTGCCATGGCAGCTCGGGGGGTACAATTTAGAGCCAGAACCATCTCAGCGTGTATTATCTGGCTGTGTATTTATAGGCATTTACATCTAGGAAACAAAAAGGGAGGCTGCGGCCAACCGTGATATGGCCACCAAGAGTCTCGCATTCTAAAAATATCCACTGAAGATCTCACTGGAATTCAGTTGAGTTCGTTTTGACTTTCTGATCGGTGACCTGCTGTGGCATTCAGATTTGCGTCCACAGCTTTCGGTCGGATCTGCACAGTGGAAACACTTCGGCCGTCGACTCTCCCGTGTGTTCACCCAGTCCAAGTTGAGTTCGTTTTGACTTTCTGATCGGTGACCTGCTGTGGCATTCAGATTTGCGTCCACAGCTTTCGGTCGGATCTGCGCAGTGGAAACACCTCGGCCGTCGACTCTCCGTGTGTTCACCCAGTCCGGTCCTCAACCTTCGAACCTCGTTTTGTTTTCAATCCAATACTGTTGACATTTCGCAGACCCGATTTCATGTCATTCATTTTCCATTTGCCGTGAACGTCATTCGAAGGACCAGATTTTTTTCCCCGAAATAGTGAAAAGGCCTTGGTGACCACCAACCGCGGGAAGCTCATAACCGCCGCAACCTGGCTTACGAACAAAATGTACCGCGCGGGGATCCCGAACACGTCTGGTAAAGAGAGCAAACGTGGCCGCCTGCGAAGGCTGAAATTGTCTCTCCCGGACGTGTGTGGCTCCTGCTTCATTCATGATCTTGTGTTTCTTGCAGCCATGTCTGACATCGAAGAGGAGTACGAGTGAGTAGCCCTTCGCTCGGTCTCAAGCCAACAGCGGTGACAATTGCATCTGATTTATTTTCTCTCTCTGCTCTTTGTCCAGGGACCAGGCAGAGGAAGGTAATGACGCGCAGGATCTGTTCCAAAGTGTTGATCAAAAGCATCAAAGTCTGTGCGCAATCTGCGTCTTTCCCTGCCAGAGGTGGAAGAGGAGGAGGAGGAGGAGGAATATGAACAGCAGCATGAGGAAGAGGAAGAGGAGCAACCGGTCTATGAGGATGAAACAGGTAATGGTGCGACATCGCATGCTGCCAAAAGCGCATCCTGTTTAGCACGTTAAGTCACCGGTGGCGGGCAGCAGCTAACGACGGTCCCGATACTTAGTGACTGAGCTTTAGTCGTTTTTTATTCACAATGTCGGTACTCTATTGACCATTCTTGCTCACCACGTTTTCCTCCCTCTTTTCAACAGAGGAGGAACGTCCCAAACCAAAGTAGGTCTGCTTTTTGATCTTTCTTTGACTCTGTTTTGCTGTCGCACGAGAGCCGCACAAAATATCAAGCGTTTCATGCATTTTGCAGACACGCGCAACCCAGTGAAGGAAGTGTATTTATTTTTTTTTCTTCATTAGAAATTAATGTTTTTCCGTGCTGATAAATCGTCTGAGAGGATGAAAATTCTGCAAGTCAGGGGTAGTAGTCCAAGGCCTCTCAGTGTCATTTTCTTCACTGCAGGTTATTTTTTTTTTTCTGTAAATCCAAAAGGTGGTTGAAACAAGTGCTTCTGGTCTCATTTTGTTTTCTCCAAATGCTTTAATATTGAGAAAAAAAAGTCCAGAAGAAACGGCAGGAAACTGCGAAAAGTTGCCGGCCATGAACATATCAAATAGGCTTGAGATTGATTCAAGGCAGCCCTTCAAGGACGCCTGAATTCCTCTGACCGAGTACGGGTCTATTTCCACATCGTGACATCTTTTCGGACACTCCGCTTTCCCTCTGCACGGATTTTCTCTTTCCCGTTGATTATCGTATTTTCAAAAGCAACACGACTGACCTCAACTTTCTTCTTTCCTTTAGACCACTGGTGCCTCAAATCGCCCCGCCAAAGATTCCCGAAGGAGATCGAGTTGACTTTGATGTGAGACAGCTTGCTCAAACTTTTCTTTTGGACCCGCGTTGTCCTTGTTAATGTTCGGACCCGCAGGGGAAAAGTCAGAAACGAGTGCAAAAGCGCCAATCGGTGTCAGTTTGAATTTGACAGCGAAACAAAGTCGAACCTCTGGGAAGTCACTCCAAAGCCTTTTGCTCCGCCAGGACATCCACAGGAAGCGAATGGAAAAAGACATGCTGGAGCTGCACACGCTGATCGACGTCCACTTTGAACAAAGGAAGAAGGATGAGGAGGAGCTGATTGGGCTCAAGGACCGAATTGTAAGTCAACACCAACATTGGTTTTCATGAAAACCTGCCCCCGAACGCTGCAGTAAAACAGCATTCTTTCATTATGATCCATTTTTAGGGATTAAAAAAAAAAAAAGAGAATCATTCTCCCACTATGGTCACCGTACAATCCTTTTTTACTGTAATTGAAGAGACAGACAATGGTGGGAGATCTTTATGATTCAATAATATTTCAACGTTTTTTCTTTTTTCTTCCCCCCTCCATCAGGAACGTCGTCGGTCAGAGCGTGCAGAAATCCAAAGAGTCCGAGCAGAGAGGGAGAAGGACAGACAGAACAAGATTGCGGTAAAGCGCACACACACACACACACACACACACACACACACACACACCCTCGCATAGCGTAACTTGTGGTGGCGTGAGCCAAGAGTGCTGCCGGGAGACAGCCAAAGGAGCAAAGAGCGCTTGAGTTTCCACAAAGACGTGTTGACTCTGAACAAAATAACAGCCGCTTAGCACACAGTACACCCAATCGAGGTCCATGACAAAAAAATCAAACAAGTGCACCCCAGAAGTTGAAGGGGAAACAAAAGATGACCAACCGACACAACAAATTAAAAAAAAAAAAAAGGCGCCACCGTGTGGCCTAATCCCATACTACAATAACGGACCGTTAACGAGACACACAAAAACAACTCTCATTAAAAAAATGGAGACTCTGTTTTGTTTCTGGGCAGTTGTTGTTTTGTGGGAGAGAAAAAAAAAAGACCTGTTGAAGACGGTCAAACTTCACCACGTCTCCCATACTGTCGTGATTTATTATTATTATTATTTTTTTCAGTGGTGATCAACAATCTGTTCTTAATCATCAAATCTGCACCGGATTGTCTGCAGTAATTGTTCTGATGATTGTCAGGGGCAAATACAACATGCAGGAGTTTCCTTCATGGCGATGTCGGTCTTTATCTGCCAGGAGGAGCGTCAGCGGAAAGAGGAGGAGGAAGCCAAGAAAAAGGCCGACGATGAAGCCAAGAAGAAGAAAGTGCTCTCTGGCATGGGGGCCAACTTTGGAGGCTTCCTGGCCAAGGTCTCGATACTGCCACCGGTGGGAAGGACATAAGGAGACGGACGCGGGCCGACTGAGCTTGTGTGTGTGTTGTGTCCGTCCTAGACCGATTTGAGGAAGGGCAAGCGTATGACCGGCCGAGAGGTCAAGAAGAAGACCCTGGCCGACCGGCGTCAGCCGCTCGCCATCGACAGCATGAGAGAGGACTCCCTCAGGTGATCTTCAATTGACTTTTCTTTCTCATTCATTCAGCCGTCACTCGTCAATCGCAACATACAAGCGAGCGTTCACACTGGGATTCACGGCAACCATTCAGCCTTCGCTGAATCTTCATAAAAACATGCACTGTGATGTCTTGTTGAGGCGGAGAACGAAACACGTTCCTCAGTACTGGATTGCGGATATCACGGGAGATCGGCCCAAAAGTCCGAGCGCTATAAGCAAGCTATCGTGGCGCAAAACGTTCCCTCTGAAATCTCACGCACGTTTTTCTCTTCGTGTTCCCAAAAAGACAACGAGCCCAGGAGTTGTGGAACTGGATCTACCAGCTGGAGTCTGAAAAATTCGACTACATGGAGCATATAAAGCACCAGAAATACGAGGTGAGTGGATCACTGAGTAGATTTGAAATGGATTTCAAGGACCTCAACGATCGCCTGTTGTCAAAAGGCGAGAAATGATTTGCCCCAATGTACCTGAAACCTCTTATGTCACAGAAAAAAACTTTAAAAGGGCACACAAAAGTTTTTTTGTTTTTTTTTTTAAACTGTTCCCAAGGGTCTTAAAAATGTGTTTGACATTCTTTGGCCCATGTAACAAAAGATGGTCTCCAAACTACGGCCAATTGCAGGGCACACATAGACAAACAATCACTTGTACACACAATCACACCTAGGGACAATTTAGAGTACCCAATCAACCTGCCATGCATGTTTTGGGAATGTGGGAGGAAACTGGCGTACCCGAAGAAAACCCACAGAGGCGCGAGGAGAACATGCAAAGGCCGGAGCTGGAATCAAATCCTGCTTTCTTTCCTTTCTGTATGAGAATGTTATCGCTTTGCATGAGTTCTGATTCTGACCTTGTTTTTATTTGCTCCGCCATGTGCAGATTATCGTGCTGCTCAACAGAATCCAACACGCTCAGAAATTGTGAGTGCTGACTGACTTTGTTTTGACACAATGGAGTTATGTCTGGGCATTTTTCCGATCTCTTTCTATTGCAAACTTTCCTGTGTGTGTTGCAGTAAAAAGGGGCACGGTAAAGGGAAGGTGGGTGGCCGCTGGAAGTAGGAGTGAAGAACCGTCAATCCAAACCAAACTTTTCCCCATCGTGGTAAGAAGAAGTGCAAGAGCAGGAATCTTCAATCTGTACTAGCGTTGTGGCTTCTCTGTGCGTGAGACAGATTGTTTTGGGGTTTTTTTTTCATAATGTTATTATAATAAAACATGCTCTCTGTGAGTTGGCATCTTTGTATTGATTTATTTATTTCCTCGGCAAAGGAGGTTTTGTTGTGAATATAGCAGCAATTAACAGGAAAATGCACTTTACATGATTCGGTAATGAGCATGCCCGGCTTGGCGCAGAGTGCTTCCAATTTGGACAGTCCGTGCACAGAAATCAGGAGCTGCCGGGATTTGCGTCCCGCCGCCGCTGCGCTGTCCACCAAATAAGAGCCCTCAGTATCCATGTGCAGGTTCGGTGTTGGGAGTTTGAGGGTTAATGTTGGTGGGTAGAGGGTGAGGATTGGGTTTAGGGTTGGAGAGTTGGGGTTAGTGTCGGAATAGAGGTTTAGGGCTAAGGGTTTGAGTTTCAAGGGTGAAGGGTTACAGTTTGGGTTCGAGGGTTATGGTTAGGCGTAGCGTGAGGACTTTCGGGTTAGAAGGTTCGGGTAAGAGTGTTGGGATTAGGAATTAGGGTTGAAGGGTTCGGGTTCGAGGGTTAGGGTTACAGTGTTGGGGTAAGAAGGTTAGGGTTCGGTTTGGGGTTCGGGCAGTGAACCAGCTAAAGAGCCAAATGCGGCTTGTGAGCCGCAAGTTGGCCACCACTGCACTAACCACTCGACTACCAGGTAGGTCATGAAAACCCTACGTTGTCCCTATACAAGACCTTTTTTTTTCCAAATACGAGACCATGAATGGTAAGGCTTTTTTTGGCGGTAGGATCTTTTAAGTATAGGATGAAGTTTTTTAGCCGAAAAAACGACCATGTATAGTAAGGCGTTTTTAGCCCAAAAAAACGACCATGTATAGTAAGGCGTTTTTCGGCCAAAAATGACCATGTATAAGAAGGAGTTTTTAGCCCAAAAAAACGACGATGTATAGTAAGGCATTTTTAGCCGAAAAAACGACCATGTATAGAAAGGCGTTTTAACCCGAAAAAAACGACCATTTATAGGAAGGCGTTTTGACCTGAAAAAAACGACCATGTATAGTAAGGCGTTTTAACCTGAAAAAAACGACCATGTATCGTAAGACATTTTTACCCGAAAAAAAACGACCATGTATAGTAAGCCATTTTTAGCCCAAAAAAACGACCATGTATAGTAAGGCGTTTTTGGCCGAAAAAAACGACCATGTATAGTAAGGCATTTTTAGCCGAAAAAAAACGACAGTTTTTAGCTGAAAAAAGTATAGGATGAAGTTTTTTAGCCGAAAAAACGACCATGTATAGTAAGGCATTTTTAGCCGAAAAAAAACGACAGTTTTTAGCTGAAAAAAGTATAGGATGAAGTTTTTTAGCCGAAAAAACGACCATGTATAGTAAGGCATTTTTAGCCGAAAAAAAACGACAGTTTTTAGCTGAAAAAAGTATAGGATGAAGTTTTTTAGCCGAAAAAACGACCATGTATAGTAAGGCATTTTTAGCCGAAAAAAAACGACAGTTTTTAGCTGAAAAAAGTATAGGATGAAGTTTTTTAGCCGAAAAAACGACCATGTATAGTAAGGCATTTTTAGCCGAAAAAAAACGACAGTTTTTAGCTGAAAAAAGTATAGGATGAAGTTTTTTAGCCGAAAAAACGACCATGTATAGTAAGGCATTTTTAGCCGGAAAAAACGACCATGTATAGTAAGGCATTTTTAGCCGGAAAAAACGACCATGTATAGTAAGGCATTTTTAGCCGGAAAAAACGACCATGTATAGTAAGGCATTTTTCTCCGAAAAAAACGACCATGTACAGTAAGGCGTTTTTAGCCGAAAAAAACGACCATGTATAGTAAGGCGTTTTTAGCCGAAAAAAACGACCATGTATACTAAGGCGTTTTTAGCCGAAAAAACGACCATGTATAGTAAGGCGTTTTTAGCCGAAAAAAAACGACCGTTTTTAGCTGACAAAAATGATCATGTATAGGAAGGCGTTTTTAGATGAAACAAAACGACCATGTAGAGTAAGGCGTTTTTA